AAAGATTTGATACTTGTAATATATTGTACACTGATCACTGACAATGACACTATTAGAAAAATCTAATAAGAATATGTATCATTCCACAGAAAGATCTCCGAGATACATTGTTAGATGATAACACCCAGCTGCAGAACAATGTATTTAATCTCATTTTTGTAAAACTAAAACTATGTATATTCATGTAAAATAAAAAGATAAGCATATTTTTTGAACCATTCCAGAGCAAGTTAGAGACACCAGGCTCCTTTGCCCTTAAGTACTTCTGTAGAAGAGGAAGAATTTTACAGAACAAAAGCATGTTCTTTTATCATCTTACATCTCACATCTTGTTATGGTTAATGAGAGGAGCTTTTTAAGGGAGGGACTGTGACTTTTACACATACTCAGCTCTGGGTCTAGCAGTCACACTGTACCTGTATTTAGCGGTTGCCATACTTGCTAAGAACTGTATTAGTCCTGGTGCTGAATCTTCTCTGGCCTAATTTTATAGCTGTGGTCTGTTTGAATCTGATCATCTCTGCGAGAAGTAAGGAGAACAAGTGCTGTCCCTGAAAATATTAGGGATCTTAACTATTTTCAGATCGCCCATCTTCTAGCTGATACTAAAAGTGATTTATTCAGGCAGTATTTCTAATGGTACGTTAAAGCATGATATTTAATGTGATTAATCTACTTGTAGGTAATGGCTTCTCACCTGCTGGATGTGTCCCCACTGCAGCAGGTTATAAATGAACAAAATGAACTCGTGTCTGAAATGTGCCCGGGTGGCTCCAATTTCCTATAATTTATTGATTAATACTTATTTACCTTATGCCAAAATAAAAGGCCAATTTTGTCAAACCAGTGGAACCAAACAGATAATTAAACAAAAACAATAAATAAGTCATTTGGTATTTTTGTGAACAAAAACAGGCTGATTAATTTAAACATTTTGACACTATATTGATGCATTCATGAATATTATCTAGAGGTACTCTAAGCCTTGATAGGACTAGGGATCTTTTAGGTTTTTGGACCTTACTAAGAAAAGAAACTTGGTATTATCAAGTGAAAAAGTAGCTTACATTAAGTTTTATTCAAGAAGCTACTATCATCTTACAGTATGGCTAATTTTGAATCAATTTCTATCAATGCTGTAGATGTAGCAAAGCCACTGTGGGATACTGGTGACTTGTTTTTCCTGTTTTTCTATCTCTTTACTTTCCTTTTTATGACCTTGGAAAGAACATGACTTGTTGGTTAAGAGTTTTTTCTTTGGAGACAGACAGTTTGATTTCTGGTTCTGCCCCCCACCAACTATATGCCATGGGTCAAGAAGCTTAATCTCTCTAAGATTTAATCTCCAAATGAGGAAATGTACCTAAGTCAGGATTATTGTGAGAGTCAAATAAGGTAATGCATTCAAAGCACCCAATTTAGTGCCCATTATGTGGTAATTACTCAGTTAAATATACATGCTGCTTGTCTGTATCTTCTGCCCTGTGACTTATGACTATTTCTTAGATTAGCATGAAAATCAGGGAAAGGAGATTCTCTAAAGGGTAAAATGTCTTCATAACCTTTGAAAGTCGCTTGGTACATGTGGCCCAGGGGCATGCTAGTACTTGCCTCAGCTGTGAAAATAGAGTAACAATCAAACTGTTGAAGGAGATCATCGTGAGGATGTGATCACCAGTTGACTCTGGAGCTGGACCTGCGCAATTGGAGGCTCCTTACCACCTCCCTGTGTGTCTAGAATACACATGCAGCCATTTTCAAGGACTCAGCCTTCAGAGAGTAGGGTGTTGAGACCATCTGGACTGTGTATGTGACTGAACCCAGTTAGAGCCTCTATATATGTGTTAAAATTCTGGTGGGCTGGTGCAGAGATCTACTTATTTTGCAGTCACCCAAGACAAGCCTTCAATGTAAGTTCCTTTGCTTATGGAACCTGCCACCTGCCAACCTGCAATGGTCTGCTTCTTTCTTCAGTCCCTCTTGGATCTCTGTGTTTGGAGGCCAGTTTAGATTTCACCTGGGAAACTCCTGTTTGTGAACTGATACAAATATAAGATATATAAATGCTTGTCCCATTCTCTAAGGCCAACAGATGTCCAGATAAATAATCAGAGCTTGTTGGATACTCCTTCAAAATTTAATGCTTATGCCTTTAATAATGTATTTTCTCTTTTCCTTGAAATCTTTCTAACTAATAGAATTTTGCACACCCTGGCAGGCCTCATGAAATACCTTCTCTTGACTATTATTGAAAACAAGATGTAATTCTCTGATTTAGTAGGTGAAAGGCCAGTTCTACTCTAGGACATTGTGAAAAATTCTAAAGTCTTTTTCTGTCCTATTACTTCATAAGGAAAATAGTTATGAGAATAGAGAATACAGAAACACTTAGAAATTCTAACTTAGTAATTCTTTTCAAATAAACCTGGTTATCTAACTGAAGAGGGAGAACAAAGGAAAAACAAGAGATTTTTGAATAGACAAATTTCTTTTAAAAATTCATAACTTACTTATTTCTTATAAATTGTCAACATCATCACCAGTATTGTCAATATCAAATATTCATATTGAAATACATAGATTCATATATTTTCTATACAAATGCACATATTTAAACTCTGATTTTTATTTTGCTAATGAAAGTGTTTTAATCTGTTATTGATTAAGTACATTGCAATAGTCTAGGACTAAGAATTATCTTTATCAAATGAAATTTCAAAAAAATTATTTAAGTTGCTACTCTGTAAGGCAATTTGTTAAACACAAAGATAACATTTATCAAGCACTAGATCTGCGTGAGGCACTGGACAAGTCATTATAAGTATTTATTTTTTTATTCTATCTTCAGAGCAAACCTAAAATATGTATAGTTATATATTTTTAGCTCTATTTCACAGATGAGAAAACCTAAAACCCAGGAAAAGTTATCTTCTGGTCCATGTTTACTAAATAGTAGGTCAATATTTTAGTGTAGATCTGGGATGCTAACACGCCCCCGACTCATTCCATCGTATCATTCAGGACCCAGAGAGTGACATTTCCTAAGGAACTGTGCAAATTATAAATCATAAGCCAATTAACTTTAAAACTTTTATCCCCCCTAAAATAGAGATATGAATAATACAAAATTACTGATTATGATTAAGCCCATGAGAAGTGACTCCTACCACTTCCTCTGTCTAACTCAAACCCATGTATTATTTAGCTCTGTGCCACTTCCTGTGTCATGACTTACTGCTTAGTCACATCTGTGGATTGAACATATGCAGCATAAAGAAAAATGCAGATATCCTTTGAGATGACACTACCACCAAGGGAACATAGATCCAGCCTATTTGCTGAGTTCTCCACCAAAACCAGTCCTCAGTGACTGAACTCTGAACAAACACATAGGTAAAGATTAAACTTCAGTTTTGCCAGCTTTGAAACAAGGAACAGGCACAATGGTTAAAATGTTATCTACAGTTTTAAGAGGAAGAGATACAGAATGATTTTATTTACTATATATTTTTTATAGTTGGTCATATATGACCATATGAAATTAATTATGTTTACTTCTTATTGTGGGTTTAACTGTTTTCTATAATTCCCTTTGATCCTGCATAAAATACCTAGTTAGAGGCCCCTGTAATTTCTTTGTAATTTTCTATAAAAATATTTGGTCATGGTGAACTCTATAAATCTTTTGGAATCAAAGTATAGGCAGGTAGCATTAAATTCTTTAATTACTAATAGTGTTAACATTCTTTAACTATTAGTACAACATAGGCATCAGCCATTCAGAATGGATGCCTGTCCAATCATGTCAGATCCTGACCTTTCATACTAGTGATATTTATTGCTTATGATTGAGAATAACCATTTTTTAAAAATAAAGTATAGAGGGTTTACATTGTTGTGTTAATTTCTGATGTAAAGCATAATGTTTCATATATATATATATATATATATATATATATACCCTTTCATGTTCTTATTATAAGTTATTACAAGATATTGAATATAGTTTCCTGTGCTATATAGTAGGACCTTGTTTATCTGCAAATCTCAAACTCTCAGTTTATCCCTCCACCCTCTTCTTTCCCCCCAGTAATCATAAGTTTGTTTTCTATGTCTGAGTCTGTTTCTGTTTTGTAAATAAGTTCATTTGTATCATTTTTAAAGATTCCACATGTAAGTGATGTCATGTGGTATTTTTCTTTCTCTTTCTGGCTTACTTTATTCCAGATTCATCCATGTTACTGCAAATGGCATTCTTTTTATTCTTTTTCATGACTGATTAGTATTCCATTGTGTGTGTGTGTGTGTGTGTGTGTGTGTACACACAAGTAGTATATACATTGTGTATATATATGTGTGTGTGTGTAATATATATGCCACAACTTCTTGTTTTTTCCTTTTTAAAAATGATTTACTTTTTTAAATTGAAATATAGTCAATTTAAAATGTGTTAATTTCTTGTGTACCATGTAATGTTTCTGTCATACATATACATACATAGATTCATTTTCATATTCTTTTTCACTATAGGTTACTACAAGATATTGAATATAGTCCCCTGTGCTATACAGTAAACATACTGTTTATCTATTTTATATATAGTAATTAGTATCTGCAAGCCTCAAACTTTCAATTTATCCCTTTCCACTCCCTTTCCCCACTGGTAATCATAAGTTTGTTTTCTATGTCTGTGAGTCTGTTTCTGCTTTATAAAAAAGTTTGTTTGTGTCTCTTTTTTTTAGATTCCACATATGGGTGATATCAGATGATATTTTTATTTCTCTTTCTGTCTTACTTCATTTAGAATGATGATCTCCAGGTCCATCCCTGTTGCTACATATAGCATTATTTTATTATTTTTTTTGGCCAAGTAGTATTCCATTGTATAAATATACCATGACTTCTTAATCCAGTCGTCTGTCAATGGACATTTAGGCTGTTTCCATGTCTTGGCTATTGTAAATAGTGCTGCTATGAACATTGGGGTGCATGTATCTTTTTGAATTGTAGTTTTCTCCAGATATATGCCCAGGAGTGGGGTTGCTGGATCACATAGTAAGTCTATTTTTAGTTTTTTAAGGAATCCCTGTACTGTTTTTCATAATGGCTGTACCAAACCATATTCCTACCAAGAGTGTAGGAGCATTCCTTTTCTCCACACCCTCTCCTGCATTTATTGTTTGTGGACTTTTAATGATGGTCATTCTGTCTGAGGTGATACCTCCTTGTAGTTTTGATTTGCGTTTCTCTGATAATTAACGATATTGAGCATTTTTTCATGTGCCTAGTGACCACTTGTGTGTATTCATTGAGAAACACTTGTTTAGGTCTTCTGCGCACTTTTGGATTGAGTTGTTTGTTTTTTTGTTATTCAGTTGTATAAGCTGTTTGTACATTCTGGAAATTAAGCTCTTGGCATGTGCATCATTTGCAAATATTTTTTCCCATTGTGTAGGTTGTCTTTTTGTTTTGTTTATGGTTTCCTTTCCTGTGCAAAAGCTTGTAAGTTTTTTTTCTTTTATTCAATTTTTGCTTTTATTCTATTACCTGGGTAGACTGCCCTAGGAGAACATTGCTAAGATTTATGTCAGATGATGTTTTGTCTATGTTTTCTTCTAGTAGGTTTACAGTGTCTTCTAAGTCTTTAAGCCATTTTGAGTTTATTTTTTGTGTACAGTGTGAGAGAGTGTTCTAATGTCATTTATTTACATTGCTGAAGAGAGAATAAACGTTTTGATTGATACAGTAGCATCACTGCTTTTCAGTACTAGAATACATGCAGTGCCAATGTCTACTAAGTCCTTCACAGCAGGGTAAGAAACTATGGGAAGTATACATACCTGAGCAAAGTCTAATAAAGTTAATGCATTTTTGTGCCACTACATATATTCATATCTTTAATTTTCTTTCTGGATATTTGGGTCATGTAGAAAGCCCTGGGTTTTGAAAGAGAGGAATGTCTTTAAATATTTTTATGTTATGCTTTATCAATTTTATCAGGTTTGCTTTCTGCTGAAGGATAGACCTTCAAAATTAACTACCTTTGCCTATGGCTTACTTGAGGCAATTGAATCTGAATTAACACATACTGTTCAGTAGTTTGGCCTGGGTACTTGACTCAGTTCACCACTATCAATGAGCTAACATTTGACATTCTTTACTTGGAGATAATCTTAACTGCAAAATGCATTTGTCCTAAAAGAATTCATTTCTTCTCTTCCTGTTCAGTTTACTCAAAATTAATAAATGGCCTCATTTTCACCCATTTGCTAAGGCAAAAATATTCAGTCATTCTGTACTCTTTTCTTTCCTTTACATGTCACATCCAATTCAACAAAATTTCCTTTTTTGTTCTAACCACATACCTGATTACATCTTACCCTCTCTGCTAATATAAAGTTGAGTACAAGCAAAACTATTTGTCAGTGGGACATAAACAGTAACTTATGTTTGGTCTTTCTACTTAAACTTTTGTCTTCTTTTGTCCAATCTCTACGTAGACTTCAATTTAATATTTTGTGAGCGTAAGTCATATCATGCCACTCTGCTGTTTAGAAATGTTCAGTAGAGGATGTTCATGTTCCTCTAATCTTGAGAGAGTACTGGTTTGCTATTATTAGTCTGGGATGATTATTAGTAGAGCCTCCTTTCACTCTCAAAAGTATCTTGGTTTAGATGACAATTGTATAGTTACCTGCTTCAGTGGTTTCCCATTGCAATTCAAGTCAAGTAAAATCCACCTCCCTCCGCTTCACCTAGAAGACCTGACCTGATTGATTTCTGCCTCCTTTACTGACTTCATCTCCAACCTTCCTTCCCCTCCTTTGGTAAATTCCAGGAATACTGATCTTTCCACATTTCAAACAAGATCAAGTTAGTCTGTACTTGAGGTCTTTGTGCTTGATTTTCTCTCTGCCTAGAATGCTTTTCCACCATATTCTCACATAGCTGGCTTCTCTTCAGAAAAGATCTTTTTAATCATTATCTTTTTAAACCATCAATCATTTTTTCCCATAGACTTGAAATATATCCTATTTATTTGCTTTTTAAAACTGAATATATCCTATTTATTTATAT